GCCTTGCTTCAGTCGGTGTTGTTGGGGCTGAGGCTGGGGATGCAGCATTTCTGCTGAGACAGCTGTATTTCTCATGGACCTTGGGGCTGGGTTTTTCCCCTTTCTTCACTCAGGACTGCAAAGCTAGGTACCTGATCACAGGGCCGTGCCCATCTGTCCTACAGACTGGGCTGTGACATCGTCCAGCCTCCTGCCCAGAGTACCAAGGAGCCTGGGGTGTGTCAGGGAGCACCACAGGGTGGCTGGCACTAGATCCCCCTTCCTCAGCTCCCCTCTATCTGTCATCATTTGAATTCCTCCCTCACAGGGCTGGGATTGGGAGAGGGGATGGAGAGATGAAAGTCTGACGGAATACTGGCCTGGCTCTGACTCCCATCCAAGGCTGTAGGATTCCCAGATGTCTAAGGCAGGACAGAGGGGGGAGGGAGACCTGGTCAGGTTACACCAGTATCCTCTTAACCACCCCCTCCCCAGGCCATGATGCTGTAAATAAGCAATAGAACTAGGGTGTCCTCCCCCCTTCTGTCTTCTCTCACGTCCCATGCCTACTAGCAGGTGGGAGCGGCTGTCGACATTCCCCTATGTGGGGTGGGACAGGGCTTGTTGGAGGCTGCCCTCCTGGGGTCATGGGGCAACACCCAGTAGGGAGGGGTCAGGAGTCGCCAGAGCCTGGCTCCCACCTCCATCTGGGCTGTAAAGGGGTTTGGTCTTGGAGCAAGAAGACCTGGCCTTGCCTCCGAGCTCTGCCACACTATGGCCTTGGTAAGTCACTTCCCCTCTCCCAGGGAACTGGATGAGATGGTTGTCGATGTCCTTCCCACCTTGGATGTTCTGTATTCTGTAAGTCTCTAGGGCATGAGAAGGGAGTGGGTGGGGAAGGGGGGAAGGGGGAGATTGACAGTAGAGTGTGTGTGTGTGTGTGTGTGTGTGTGTCTGTGGCTGCCCCACTGAATTGACTGCCCAGGGTTATGATTAGGGTCAGAAGACTGCCCTGCAAAGACACCAAGGAAAGGGAAACCCTGGGGAGCTGGAAGCCAGCAAGGACTGGGCAGGGCCTGACCCTGGAGGATGCCCTTGAGAACAGAAAAGGCCACTTCATCTCCTTTCTATGAGGCCATTCTCTGGGTGTCTCATGAGGTGGTAAACACCCCCCCCCCCCCCGCTCAATCCCACCTCCCCTAAGGCTATAAGGCAAAGAAGAGGCACTAGGTGCCTTCTTGAGTGGCAGAGGTCAGGCTGGGGAGCCCAGGTCCAGAGTCATTAGGGGATAATGGGGAAGCAGCTTCTAAGAGTTTTTTCTTCCCCTGACGCTCCATGACTGGAGTTCCTGGCTTCCATCACCCAATTCAGGAAGGAGACTGAGAATGCCCTCAGTTCTTAGGGAGATGGAATGGGTTAGCAGTGCTTTGTCTGCCTTTCTCTACTCCTACTCCCCCACCCCACCCTCACTCACACACCATTTGGAAATGGCTAGGGGTGAAGGGGAAAAAGAAGTGTCTCCATCTGAATCCCAAGGCCAGGGGGAGATAAGGATGACCCTAGGAAGGCCAGGCTAGTAGGGAAAGACTTTCCCACAGGTAGGGGGGTCCCTACCTGCAGTGTTCATATGAGTTCAGGGGTGTGTGTGTGGGGGGGGTGTCCAGACATGGGTTACCATGCATGCTCGTGCATGGAAAGGGGCTTGCCTCAAAACCTAGGCTGAGCAGGGTCTTCTCCCTACCACCCTTCCCCCTTCCCTTCCTCTTTCCTCCCTATGTATGAGGTGTCCCTTCCTCCCCTATCTTTTTGCCACCCTGACCCCCAGTCAATATGTTCCAGGGAAACAACTCAAAGTTCATAGGTCGGCAACGATGCTTTTTTGATAAGGATGAAGAGAAAGGGGGGTGGTTATGGTCAATGGAATCCCTGGAATCCAGCTGCTGATCATTGTCAGGCAGACAGGTCATGGGCTCCAGTCAGCAGTGTAGGACCCACCTTTGGAGAAACAGAACCCCAAAGATGGCTCTAACCTCACCCTCCAGGGTCTGAGATGATAGGGGTCACAATCTTGGAAGAAGCTCTGTGCTGGGAGTCTTTGCTGGAGATTGGGGAATGGTGGAGTGCATATTAATGCCTGGAGATGAGACCCCTTGCCTGAGCTATGGGGCATGAGGGTTGGGAAGCTATAGCCTGCAGTCCCTTGTGGCCCCTTTGTGCCTGCTGAGCCGACATGCCAAAAGAAGCTGGTAGAACAGCCAAACAAACCTTTAGGACAGGGGGGCATTCTTGTATAGCCATCCCATTCCCAGCATGAAGCTGCTTGGAAGGGATCCCCATCGCCAGGCTTCCCCAAGCATCCTTATAACTCTCAGAGGAATTTCCAATCCCCAATCTTGTTTTGAGAAGCAGGAAAGACCACTGGCTTTAGAGTCAAAGCACAAAGGTTCAAATCACCCATTAATGTGTGATCTTGGACAAATCGCCATCTCTAGACCTTTTTTCTCATATATAAAATGAAAGAACCAAATGTTAGACCAGATGGCCTCCTAAGGTTATATCTAGCTCTGATCCTAGTGGCTACTTAGTTGTGGGGGAGAGGGGAAAAGTGGAAAAGGAAGGGACTCCAGTGTCCCATCCCTGGGCCTTTGACATGACCACCATCTCCTTTGGTCCAAAGGAATATGCCTACCTGTCCTTTATAGACTGAACTCATTAGAGGTGGAGAGGGAACCCCCCCCCGCATTCTGAGGGATCCCCCTAACCAGCAGCATAAGCAGGGGCTGCTGAAGGTCAACCAACAGCTGGTCAGGAGCATAACCGACACCTGTGAGGTGGGGGCAAAGAGGAAACTGGCCCAGGGCAAGGCCCATGTCACCTAGCCTTAGCAGAGCCTTTCTTTAGGGGAAGTCCAGAAGGCCATATCCTTAAAGCAGGCAGGTGTAAGGATTCTTAGCGAACCTGAGGCAGAAGTGAGGCGCCCACAATAGGACCCACGAGCTTCTGCCCAGACCCGACCATCTAAGTCCAAGGCTGGAGCTTGCACATGGTCACTTGCTCCTGGCCCCAGCTCAGTCTCCATTGCCAAGGCTTTGGAAAGTTGAGGAAGGCACTTTGTAAACTTCCTAGGCCTAATTCAACAAGTGAATGTTGTGAACAGGGTCCACCCTTTACCTAAGTGGTAAAGGCAGGTAAGGGGTGCACCCCCATCTCTGGGGAAATAGCTCTCTTCCCAAGGTCACTTATTCCCCAACCTCCAAGTGGTCAGCACCTAGCTCCAGGGAACGTGAACTTATATTTGGAAGAGTCCTCTTACAAAAGAAAACACCCCCAGGGACACCTCCAAATCCAGAGAGTTCATCTACTTCCCATCCTTACTTTAGTAGAGGAATTACAATGTCTGAAGTTTGAGTTTTGTTAAAAAGGAACGAAAATGTCAGGACACTCCAGTTAATAGCATAATTTAACAGCTTAAAATCTTTCCCCCAACTAAGCAAAGACATCAGAGACACCCACAGGAAGGAAGGCGATTCAGAGCAGCCTACAAGCCTGACCCGTGGCTAAAACAGAAGAAGACCTCACCTCATTCGGCAAGCCAAGTGTGACACTGGCGGAACTGATAAGGTTGGCCAGCTAAGGTGGACGGAGCAAGGGCTAGCCACCAGTGAGGACCCTCCAAGTCTCCAGAATTGTTTTTAAACAAACACGAGTACATAATGTTTATTGTTTGAAATTCCAATTTATTACAAGCCTGGTCTTCGGCAGGCCCTCTCCCTCCTGAATGACAAGTTTTAAAAACAAAAAAGGAAACATACAATTCAGACGTCACTGAAGTAACATCAGATGCTCAACATTTAACAAGAAGAGCTGGGCCTGGCGGGGTGGAGGTCAGGGCTGTGGAGGTTGTCACTGGCCCCAGCTTTAAGCAAGAGAAAGCTGGGAGCAAGTGATCACATCAGCCCCCAAGAGCAAGTCCCTCCCACATCCTTCTCTGCCACCGAGATAAGATATATAGGGACACACACCTTGCCGTTTAGTAGTAAAGATTTTATTCTCAAATCCTAGCAGTTACATCACTTTTGTGGGTTTATTTAAATAGGTACATTAGAGCTATTTGGCTCCGTTTCCAAATTCAAACTTGATAGAAAAAATTTAACCCTGTTCTGTATTTTTTATCAAAGTTGGCCATAAAAGGGAATCAGGACTACAAAGTTTTGCCTCAATACAACAACTAGGGGCTAAAGGCTCTCCGTCCGGTTCTCCCTCCCCACCCGGGGCCACCGAAATCCTCCCAGACTCTCCAAGCTGGAGTCTGGGGCCTCCATACTCGGCAAGAGGAAGGAGCTAGGGGGATCGGCGCTGCTGTCAGGGAGCCAAGACTAGAGACCCCCCCCCAACCCTTCTGGCTTTCAGTGAGCTGGGGAGGGAGAGACAAGGATTAAGCAAACACAGCTTTCATATAAACTGTCCTGTACATGTGCCAAAGCAAGACGACAGAAGTATTTTACAAGGTGTCCTTTATACAACATCACTGCTGAAACAAGCAACTTTTAATAACTAGAAAAATCAATTTTTAAAAAAGTTACACGTTCAAATGCTTCCTGCTTTGTTCTGCTCCCCAAACCTTGTCTGGCTGAGAGATGGGCTGGGCGCCAGCGTCCCTCCTCTGGCCAGACTCATCCAAGAGAAGGACCGGCTGCACGATTATAAGCCAACCGAGGGAGCGGGAGCCTCCAGTCTTTTGAATGGTGAAGTGCCTCAACTGGATGGGGGTGGGGTGGAGGGAGGAAGGAAACGTCCCCTCAGGCCCACCCAGATCACCTCAAAGCCAGATTGTCTCATGATGCTGGTGAAAAACGAACCGACCTCTGAATGGGGGGATGCACCCACTTTTACTGGGGGCAAGAGAAAAAGATGGGGGGGAGGGTTTCCAAAAAAAACCAAGACCATATATATATATATATATATATATATATATTTAATATATATAAATATATATATATATATATATATATATATATATATTTAAATCAACAGCCCACCGGCCTGGTTACTCTTGGTCCTGGTAGCATAGCAATCCCTCCCCTGCACTAAGGGGGGGGGGGCGAGGGGGGCACGTGCACTTGCAGGGGCGGCTCGGCTCTGCAGGCAGCCGCAGAAGGCATCGAAGCCCTCTATGGTAGCCCCCAGGGGGCTGGAAAGGAGAGAACACTCAGCAAAGGGGGACAGGATTCCCAGGGAACTCCTCAGCATTTCACTGACTTCCTAACAATTTCAACATGGCGGCAAGAGTGCCCACCCCCATCCCCGTTCCATCCCTCTTGAGATCACTCTGGGCACAGAAGCCAACTAGTACCAACATTGCCTAACAACATTTATTATATCGGAAGCAGGCCATCAGTTCTCTCTGTGGTGGTGGCGGTGGCAGCGGCGGTGGAGAGGCCTCAGAAAAGAGTCGCTCTCCCTCCCTGGAAGGCCCGCTCAGTCTTCTGCCCTCCCGGCCGCCACCCTGGACACCATCCCAGCCTCCTTTTATTTCTTCCTCTTCCGACCCCTGGAATGTCCGGGTGGCTCTGGGTCACTGTCTCCCGCTTCCTCCTCCAAGGGCTGGTCAGGGAGCTTCTTGCGCTTCCTCCGGACATATGGGTGGCCCGGGAGGTGCTTGTGCACCAAGGCCACGAGGCACTGTTCTGTCTTCGCCAGGCAGGTCAGCACGTGGCTGCCGTGGCAGTTGTAATGCTCCGCGTTGGCAAACACCTGCTTCATGTCGGACAGGAATTCCTGCACTGAGCGGTAAGCACCGCATGAGCATTTATTCTTCATCGTCTGGAAGTCCATGGGATGGCTGATGACCTCGAAGTAATCTTCCGCCTCCTCTGTGGTCACAGGCTCCCTGGGTGGGGAAAGGAAAGTCCGAGGGAGGAAAAGTCAGCTGCTGACAAGGACAGTGCCTCCCCTACCCGCCTCGCCCTTGTCAGCCCAACCACTGAGACCAGGGAAGGTTGGTCCAAGGAGGGACCCATGGGGGCTTGGCCCATAGACCATTCCGGGGACAGCCCCCTCAGTACAGGTACAAGGAAGCTATAGCTGGCTGCGGGGGTCCTGGGAGAAGGCAGGGTGGGACACTGACCTGAAAGGCCAGCTGAATCGGAACTTAATGAGCTTGGTGAGGATCTCTTCACACTTCTGCAGCTCCAAGGTCTGCCTTCTTGAGCCTCTTTTGGTCTGAAGCACCTGTTGCCAAGCATAGGGAAGAAGGTGATGCTAGTGAACCCCCAGTGCTGCAGGAAGGAAATGGGGGGGGGTGTTAAAAGTATGTACATGTTCTATATGAAAATAGTGTGAACCGTTTCGTTTTCTTTCCTTTATAGTAACAAGAGCCAGCAGGGGCCTTTTGTGGCATGATAATAATTTTAGAAATCCTTTTACAAATTCAAGCTAGGAGTGTGGGCAGAGAGAGGCTTGTTTTCTTCTGGAAGTTTAAGGGCAGAATGCTCGAGCAGGGACTAAGAAGAGTGTGCCTAGCCCAGAAGCATGGCCCTGCTTGGCTCCAGCCCCATTTGCCTTTCCCCAAGTAGCTGTGCTAGGGTAAGAGCCAGCTTTTAGGAGGGCTCAATGTGTCATTTAAAGCCATGACCAGCAACAGCTGATGGCCCCTGGGACTTTGCTGTCATGGAGAGAAATACAGGGAAAACCAGAGCTGTTCAGCTTCAGATCTGTGGGTGGAGAGGATGACAAGATAAGAAGGCTGGGCTGGGCCAAGCCCAGCAGCCCCTCAAACCCTCCTCGGGGCCATGCCAGGTGACCTGGATTCAACAGAAGGCCTGAGGGCAGGTGGGGACTACAGCAGGGCCCAGGCTCTGCCATACCCCAGCAACCACTGAAGTTCTGACCAAGGGCAGGGGCTGTGTGAGACCGTATCCCCATCGGCTGGGTTGGCAGCACAGCACTGACACTCTGCAGGCTGACAACTGTCAGAAAAAGGACCCACCGTACCAAGCAAGCTTTGGCATTGCTGGCATTCTCACATCCATGAGCCCTGGCCCCTCCGACCCCCCTGGAGACAGAGGGATACTATTTAAAAACAAGCTGCAGACAACGTGTGAAAGCGAACGCAGAGGGATGCCGGGCATAGCTGGGTGTCCTTCGAGGGCCTGAGGTCCCAGCTGGCTTGGGTCCTGCTCTAAGACACCCCTCCCCCCATTAAGTGGAGGTGGGGGAAGGGAGGAGGGGAGGGGAGAGGAGGGGAGGGACATCCCCACCTGTCACCCAAAAGCAATTTCAGCTTACCAGCTCATCAACTTCGGCCTCATCTCCTGGCAGGGCCCTCTGCCGGGGTCTCCTGGAAGGATGTAACTTCTTGCCTGCATGACGGCCTGGCCTCGAAGTAGAGGAGATACCATGCTTGCCCCGGGCTGGCTTTCGGGGTCGTACTGAAGAGAAAAGTGCGGCTTTAGAGCAGAGAGGAAGGCAATGACTGGGACAACTTGAGGATGGCGATCCTGGCAGGGTCCCGCCAGATTCCCAGCCTCAGCCCTCCATCTCCCAGATGGGATGCTAGGCTTCCTTTTCAGGTACAAAACAAGCCAAAGAGAAAAGCAGAGGAGAAAGGGATACTGCCTTTCAGAAGCTGCCAAAGACCTCCCATTGTCCTGTCATTCTCCCCCCTCCAATCAAACTCGAGTTACTTAGCCAGTTTGAGCAGCTAGTGGGAGACTTCAGGAAATCGAATTCAATCGCAATCCCCTTGGAAAGCAAAGAGTTGTCCTGAGGACCCTTGGGCAGGTGCCAACAAACCCAGAATTCAACACAATTTCCTTTCAAAGAAATACAGGCCAACAAGGTGCTTGGAAGCAAGGCAGGCATCTTCTACTGAGAGACCGGCACACACAGGGCCGCCGGGCTCACCCGGGCGGCATCCGATCTCTGTGGTTATTCCCTTGCTGCTGGGTCCCACCACACCACCAAGCCACAATCGTGGGCTGCAGAGCTCGAGCGGACAGGGACCGGCTGGCCCACAAGTCGCCTGCTCAGTGCCACATCCGGGCCACTGCTCTCGGCACTGTGTGTGATGATGCCCTCCAAGCTCTGGCCTTCTCCATTTAACCAAACGTTTACCACAAGAACTTTTCCAGGCTCCCATACTGAATGCTCAGCAGCTGAAGTTCTGGACAGGGGTGGGGAGCTGAGGCCAGGACTGAACCGACAGCATTTCACAGTGTATTTTTAGACTGCAGCAGCCCTTCTTGTACTATTGTCAGAGCACTTGGCTTACGGCCTGGCTACTTCAAGAGCTCAAGAATCACTGCCCAAAGCAGAGCCTCGGAGGCAAGCACCCTGAGGGATTCCATCAGCTGGTCCATCCAAAACCGGCCCAGCGGCCCAGAGGAGGACCTCAACATGATGTGTGGATCGTCTGAGTTAGCTTCATTTTCACTGACTCTTCCCAGATACTGGCGCTCCTAAAGGTCAAGGTGGGGTGTAGGTTTTGAAGAGCTAGGAACTAGGCCCCTGATTTCAACAGCAGAAGCACTTCCTGACAGTGTTCACCTGATGGGGGGGGGGGGTGAGGGTCACTGTGCGGACAAAGAGGAGAATAACTCCACAGAGCTTGGACACCCCATGGCCAAAGCAAGCAGAATACTGGTCTGAAACGTGAGGGAGGCCCTTCAGAACTCACCCCCCCCCCAAGAGCTATGAGGACTTTTCACTCTCTTGGTAATAGGAAAACATTCCTGGGGCTAGTGACTCCGTTACAGAGACAAGACACGAAGCACTAGCATTTTTAATTATAGCTCTGAGGATAAGCTCCCAACACCCATCCTCCTCCAAGAAAGTTAGCCCCGAACCTTGTGGGGAAGGAGGATCAGACAAATCCGAGTCAGCATGGGGGTGGGGTGGGACAGTCCATCCCTGGCTACATGACACCATGTGTAAGGGGGCTGGGAGGGAGGTGGCCCGCAGCCATGCCCCACAGGCAAGTAGGAAGTAAGAGAGTGCGAGTTATCATCAGAGTAATGAGGTCCCTGGCTCTTTGGAGAAGATCTGAGGCCATATTTGGCTGTAGGGAGTTAGCAGTTTACATTAGACAAATCAATTTCAGTTTCAGTCATGGACTCAAAAACTCACGTCGAACTCCAGCCACTTCATAATCTTCCTCCTCCTCTTCCTCTTCCTCCTCTTCCTCCTCCTCCGAATCCCCCTCTTCTCCATCATCCTCATCATTTGAATCTTCAGTGTAATTCCTATTTGGGGAAGAAGGGGATATAAGGAGACTGACTGGGAGCCTAAATGAGTCCCAAAAGAGGACACAGGCCATGGCAGCATCTGCCCACAGACTCTCCATATTTGTCCAAACAGTCACGAGTGAGAATTGCATTTAACCCAGGAGGGCCAGGCACAACACAAACTAAAGCCAAGAACGCTCTCCCTTGAGAAACAAAATGGCGACCCATCCCCTACCCTTGGCGACTCGGGCACTCAGAGGACACTGACAGGTGTGGGTTCACCTAGTGGCTCCATTCCAGCAGGTGACCAAGACATCAAAGCAAGTACAATTCCACCTACACCAGCTGGCTAAAGGCCTTTCCTTTCGCTCTCCAACTGTAACTGAGATGAAGCAGGATATAACTGTACGGGGACACGCTCTGCCCTCAACCTCCTCTACAAAACAAAGATCCTTTCCCCCTTAGTAAGGCTCACACTTGGGTAGGGTAACAATGGCATCAGATCTGAGCCAAGCGAGGAACACCAACATGCAAAGTTGGCCACTAAGGAAAATCAGCTGCCCCAAGTTCCTGCTGGGCACCGCCCTCAGGCTCGCTCACCTGCCTCTACAGCTTCGTCGGGACATGGCAGGCTGGCAGGCTGGGCACTGCCACTCTCCTTCTGGAATCTCATACAGTGCCGGCCTCAGACAAAACAGGTGAAAGGCCTTATTGCACTCATCACACAGGATCAGCTTGTCATCTTCACCTGCAAAACACAGAAAAACACAGCACCTAGAGTTATCTTGTCTGGTAGCATGGCAGCAGACACTCAGCCTCCAGGAGGGGGTCCAATGAAGTCCTAGGGGAGACTCAGTGGGGCCAGAACGTTCTACTGCCCGAGCAGGCAGGGCAGGGCTGGCCCAGGCAAGTGCCCCCATAGCTTGGCTCCCTCTATGACATGGCAAATTCCTCTTATTTTTGTAACTCACAAAGTCATGGACTTAAAGCTAAAATAACCTTAAAGCCCCTGGCACACTGAAGGACTCAGGTGAGACTCATTTTGTCAATTTACTACTGGCTTCAGCTAAAGTCCTTGGTAATTTTTTCACCCATATACAAATCCCTGCCGTAGTACAGAACTTTTAAGAGTGAAAGATGAAAGAACCAGGTACTAATCTTCCCATTTTGGAAATGGGGCAATGAAAGGAGATGGGCCCACACAGGGACGACGAAATGGCCCGAGGAGGCCCTGAACTAACTCAAAGACGGGTGACAGACTGCTGGCCACACCTCAACCCACCCTCAAAAAAGCTTCGCTGGATCCAGTCGAGCAAGGACGACTGGCAACTCAGAAAAGGGATGCCCAAACAACCGAGCTTTGCCCCTGGACTGTCCTCCCCAAATCCCATAGCTCCAACCCCCTACGAGATGCCACTGCCTGTCTGCATGAACCTCAAGCCCTGTGCAGTTCCCAGCATCGCCGATCCCATGCCTCGAGGGGAACATCTCCCAAAGGGTCTCTCCAAACACTGCTGGGGGGCGGCACCCTGGAATCAGACCTGATTCAGACAAGAGGGGCTCTAGCAGGCAAAGGATCACAAAGACTCCCCTGCAGGAATACGCTTTCTGGGCACTAGTCAGTAATTCATCTGACTAAATAGTTTGGTTTTTTCTTCCTCCAAATACAAACAGGTTCTCCTAGGTGAAACAATGCTGGTATTAAACCACAGAAACACCTCATATAGCCCTGTCGTTATAAGTGGAAACAGTTCTGGATTTCAACCCACAGGACCCAGGGTTTCAACCTCTAGCAGTCTGAATGTACTGCCTATGTGACCTCAGGCAAGTAATGGGCCTCAGAGTCCCCATCTGTAAAGTGTGTGTCTATCTCAAGAAAAGCATTTGACTACTACTAGTCCTGAAATTTGGTAGAGATGGTTGCTGTGAGTACAGAAATCCTGGGATGATACAGAAAGGCTCAGTAATGAAAAAATGCCTGATCCCTACGCTCTCTGTGCACGCCTCAACGTGGCACGCTGTCATACCTTTCTTTCGACACACTTTGCACCTGGCATTCTCTGCAGACATGTCCCATTTGATGCAGGCGTCAAGCATCCCAAGCAGCACATGCATTCGAGAGAAGGTCTGGGCCTCTCGGATCGCTATCTTCCATTTTTCCAAGGCTGAAGCAACCTACAGAGAAAACAAAGTAGCCTGAGGACTAGAAGATGGAGGCTTACTTGGAAATCTTGGCGTGATGTAATTAGTGACAAATCTCTGCACAGAGGTGAAGCAGAAAAGCAGGAGGGGAAACACGGAAATTATGAAGGCCATTCACCTTTCCCAGTATGCTTTAAACAAAGAACAAAACCCCCAGGCTCAGAAGAAAGGCAACAACTTTAGCAGAGCACCAAGAGCTGCCATCTAAAGTGGCCACATCTGCCTCCGACCAGCACTTCACGGCTGCCTCCATTTGTGGGGTGAGGAGCAAACTTCTAGGGGAGCATAAGGAGCCCAGGGCTATTCCACATAGAGAGCATTCACTTTCATTTGTCCCACTAGCTCAGTCCTATCTAAAGAGCCATGTAAAATTTTTGCCTTGGTATCTTTATCTGCACTGATTTCAGACCGAGCCTTCTCGGCCCTGCAGTCCAGCTGCCACGTCTGGGCCTCCTCCACAGGAAGGAGTCTGTCCCATCCCTCTTCTATGGACCTGCAGGACGTTGTCCACTACAACGGCGAGGAGTGTGGGAACAGGCTTCCTCACCTTCCTGCCTCGTTGCTTCCACTGCCAGCATTGCTACTTTCCTCTCCAGAATTTCAAGGATTATTCTTGTAGACTCACAACCTCCCCCATTCTAAGGAAGAGACCGAAGCTGAAGGCAGTAACCTCTGCTAGCTCTCGACGACCCAGGCTACGCTGCCTTCATTACCAGGTGCAGACTTTGTACACATCTGCCCCAACAGCGTTGGTAAGCTCCTTGTGGGCAGGGGCTGCTTCACCTTTGCTTTTGCTGACTAAGCACAGTGCCTGGCACACTGCAGGCACTCTCCATAAGCTCATCGCGTACTCTACATTAATGAACACGTAGATACGCTGCTTGGAAAGGGGAAAGGGCTCCTTCGATGCCAAAATACAGGCAGAACTCTTTGCAGCAGGAAGAAAAGTAGCTGCCTCTTCACAAACCGTAACTGCGATGGGAAGAAGGGGCAAGTGAGTCGAGGTCCTCAGAATAACGAGGGAAGATCTGCATGAGCTAATTCAGAGCAAAGCAAGCAGAGCCGGGAGACTGCAGAAGCACACATGCAAAAGCAGAAGACAGATCCCTGGCACCAAAACTGGACACCACTGACCGACGCTGGGCAAAGACTGGTCTATTTTAAGGGGTCCTGCCCTCCTTCTCGTGGAGGACACACTAGAAGTCAATTATCCTGCTGGGCTACAGACCTTAAAATAGAACTGTCGGTGGCTGGGGTGGGTCAGCGAGCTCTGAGCCCGGGTGCCAAGAGCTGTGTGGGTGTGTGCTTGCTCGCATGTGTGTGCATGTATGAGCTTGTGTGCACACATGCATGTGTGTGTGCTTGCACACGTGTCCACATATATACACCCACTGAAAGAGAGACCAAGCTGTGCCTACAAAAAAAGCAGATACAAACTGAGCCATCCTACAACCCCACCCCTTTTGTGGGGCTGGCTCTGAAACGGCCACCACTTCTGGGCTACAGATACATGGTCAACAGCCAGGAGCCCCCTGAAGTTCAGGATAACAACACACATGTGCCCACTCTGTGACAAAGTCTGTGGTTCCCCCCCCCCGTCCCGGCCTCCAGGAGAAGGGACAGAGTGCCACTTCCGCAGGCCTTCTACCTGCGAGACAAACCCAAAGTCACCTCAGGAAAAACGTGAGCCTATTTCCCTGAGACTGAGGACAAGGGTGACCACAGATGGCCAGCAGTGCCCTCCAGTGGAGATAGGCGGGTACTGCATACACTTTCTTCTAGTCATCTGTCATCGTGGGCAGCTCTGAATTTTCTCCACACGTTTGTGCTTAGACTCAGACAGCCACTGTGGCATCTCTCACTGGGAAAAGGAGAGGCGGTGCAGTATGGCAGAGAGGGCCTGGACCTAAATCAGGAAGAGCTCGGTGACAATTCTATGTCAGCTGAGACAAAAGAGGAGACTCTGACCTGCGATGCTGCAGGGATGAGGCCAGGACCTCGGCCTCACCATCTGCGGAATACTCCAGCTGGGTGGGAAGATGGGGAGGCCCCTTTCTTTTTCTTTAGGGGGCACCTGGGGGGAAATGAATCATGTGCTCAAGATCATACCCAGTGAGGGAGTCAGTGCTGGAATTCAGCAGGGTCTGGACTCTTCCCACAGTCCTCATTGTCCTAAATCAGAGGTTTTGGCCAACCGGCATGTTGGCCCGAATCAGATTACAATGTAATTGGGAAGTGTTTAACAAAATAAATATGCAACATGGATTATATTAGTTTTGAGTTTTCTGAGTCACTACGCAGGGTTTGACAGCACTGTCCTAAAGTGTCTGAGTGAACCAGTCAATGACACAAACCTATGGTCCTGCTCTCCTATCTATAATCAGCAAGGGAAATAACCACACTTTAAATCAAAATTCTTGGCATCCCTCCCCTCTTGAAATACAATGTACCAACTATTTTGACCTTTCAACAGGAAGAGAATTTTCACTGACAACACACTCATGTCAACATGTATAAAGGGAAGACTTTGGCATCTGAAATTGGCTGGGTCTGTGAATCTGGCCTGCCATTACTGGAAATCTCAAATACAAGAAATTCATGTACAGTTCAAGTTATTCCAGGTTTGAAACCAAATGAGTCTCTCTCAAAAACAGATGAAACAAGAGATACAGAGAAAGTATAGAAAGACAGCACATAGAATCACACTCGCAGTTCAGCCCCTTCCTTGACAACTTTCCAATGCTTGCCAAACCCATAACAAAGTACAAGTCAATGTTGTGTTCTTCCCCCAAGAGAATGTGGAGAATGGGAAGAGTTAAGCTGTCAGACCCAGGAGCAGAGAGGAAGTCACACGCCAGACTAGGCTGGACTGCCCCAGTGAGTCCCCCTGCACCCTAGGAGGGGTCTCAGGCCCTGGCTGCTGCCCAGGAGACACACTCAAGGGTTTAGAAAGCATGGTTTTTCCAAATGGCCATCTGCTACCAAGCAGGAGCCAACAGGGAGGAAAAAAAGAGGTGTGCAGGTTATTTTTGGTGGGGAGCTATAGGGAAGAGCAGGGATTTCAATGCAGAAGACTGCTGGAGGCACTTGGTGACAATGCTTCTAGTTTTCCAAGGAAACTGTCCCACTAGTCTCCTTAATGTACTATGTATCTTGGCCCTGATGGGTAAGCCTGAGAGGAAAAAAAACCTCTCATCTTCCCCTATGGCCAAATGCAGGCACTAAGTCTTACGAGACAGAGAATTCTCCAGTGACAACTCTGCCATCACATAGAGGAAAGAGACCTGCTCCAGGAGAGTGCTCAGGGAGGACCAGAAGACCAAGGACTCAAGGCTTTCACACTGGCCAGGCAGGAGGTGGGCTGAGTCTCTTCTGTATGACACTGAATTGAGAAAACAATTCTGGGAACTCAGCATTGGCAGGAGCCCTCTCTGAAAGCCCTGACCGCTTCTGAGGTTCTCCTAAAACAGGGTCCACCACATCCGCACAGGGCTAGGGAAAAAGCTCTCACTCGATGAAGGCAAAATATCCAGAAGTCGAGCCTGTTACTTACACCACCACATTTAGCAACAGCCCTCACAAATGACATGGGTGGGAGAATGACTATTCCCATCATACAGCCCAGAAAACTGAGACCCAAACAATTCAAAGGAGATAAAAATCCTAGTCTTTAAAGGCCAGTTCTTTCCACGATATTTTGCTGCTTTCAAAAGAGGAAGGGGGTAGGGGCTGGGTATTTAAAAGAAGCCAATTATGAAGAATTCAAAGGAGGCCAAAGTCCATTATGTAGTCTGGCCTCATCTTCAAAGTGAAGGCACCAGCAGTCCAACCTCACACACACTCCGTTCTCCAGACTTTTCTCTTTGTCCTAGATGGTGCCCAGCATACTGGCAGTTAATAAATTATTAAGCTATGAAATCATCAGTTTGGGTCTGCCCATTCTTTTTTCTCTCTGCCTTTTTCAAGGGCCCTTGTGCACTTCTGTCGGAGATGCCGGCTACAGACAACTTTGTGAATTATTAGTACCTTGCAAAACCTCACCTAGTCCCACAGAGTCGGTCACCTCCGGCACACGTCTAGCTCAAACTTCTACATGCCCAGCCCAAATTTCAACCTGCCTGCTGCAGAATTCTTCGTTGGATTTCCCACCATTTTCTAAAACTGGACCCTTCCTCACACCAAGCAGCTAGCCCCCTCTCAGTTGATGGGACCTTCTCTACCCTGCTTCCTTGCTATCACTGAGTTGACATGTCCTGCTGCTTCCGTCTTGACAACGTCTCAGGTCTGGCTTAGATTCTTATAATCAAGCCACTGTTCAGATTCTTATAATTTAGCCAATAGCTCACTAATATTCAGACTCCTTAAGAGTCTGCCCAGTATGATGGATATTCTAATAAACCTTGTCTTTGGCTGAAAGAAGGCTTGGGTCAAATTCTTTCAGACAGGACCCGCGTGTTACGATTTTGGGGTCCCACCCCCTAAACACCTGAACCTCAATATTTTGGTGGCTTATATGGGGAACTGCCTAACCCCAAGTTCTTCTCCAGCCAAGACCGGAAGGTATGTAAACCTCCCTCCCCCACTCCCTGCTGTGCAGTTGGGGTCGCCCTCCAAGCACCAAGGCTCGGAGGTACTTTTCTGGCAGATAGTTACAAGGCTGTCTAGCAACTCAGCCTGACTCTCTCAGACTTTCGGTCCACTGGGTTGCTTCGAGGCCATGGGCCTGGGCACACCTTCTGCAGCACAGAGGACAAGAAGTGCACACCCAGTGCTGTCAGTTCTCTGGGCACTAGGGAACTGGAGAAAAGTGCAGTGCTTTTTGGTTCCCTGAGGCTTCCTTACTCCCTTCCCTCTACACTCCTGAATCCTCCTTCACGGAGTTACAGGGAAAAGTTAGAACAGCTAAAAATATCTGGGCAGATTGTGGAGCTTTCGTGATCGATCATTAAGGAGTTTTGAAACTCCTCCTTGCAACCCCGGTCACTCTTTTCTCCCACTCTTCCCTTGAGTCTAGAGGGTATCTCTCATAGGAGAAGAGAGTTTCACCCTTTACCCCTCACCTTTGATTCTGCCCTCCCCTACCTGGGGAAAAGAAAGAGGGGGGAGGGGCAGCAGCTACAGTGTGGGCCCCCCTGGCAATGGCCTTGGGCCCTAGGGCAACCTTTGCCTGGAAGCATCATCTGGGTTCAGCACATCCTGCTCAGGGTAAAGAAGCTAGCCTCCAAATTTGGGTAGGCACGCTCTTTTAAAGTTGTAGTTTTAACTATTAATGATGAGGTGTTGATTCTCTGTGTAAAGTAATTTGGGGGGCAGCTAGGTGGCGCAGTGGATAGAGAACCAGCCCTGAAGTCAGGAGGACCTGCATTCAAATCTGGCCTCAAACCAAACATTTGACACTTACTAGCTGTGTGAACCCTGGGCAAGTCACCTACCCCCAACTGCCTCACTAAAAAAAAAAAAATTAAAATAAAGTAATTTGGAAATACATTTAACAAAACTGAAGTCACCTGAGTTTGTTTCATGTTTCAAATTGGTGAACTTTTTGTATCAGCTGTGTCAAGGAACTTCTCATAATCTGGTTATTGTTGGTTATTGTTTGAATGTGTAAACTTGCCAAAAAGCTTGCTTGGGTTTTGTCTTGCTGAGAATTTGCAGTTACATATAGCAATAATCTCTAACGATTGGCTTTTTATACCAGGACATTTAAATTTGAGATGTAAATCCTGGAAAAGCTTTTCCTGAACTGTGATTAATGAAACTTGCTGTTTGAGGTAAAAGCTCATGAGATTTTATTTTGAGTTGTCTGATGGGTCATAATAATCCATCGATAATCAATAATCCACCATCTGAGAGAAATGCCACAAGCTACTCAGAGAAGGTGATACTGGTGGGAAGTCAGCACCAAAAAAGGCTGAGAGGACAATTTTAGCCTCAGTCTAAGATGGGGTCCTCCTGGCTCAGTTTCCCATTATGTTCCTTTGAAAGGAAACGTTCCCCACCTGGCTATTTCTGAGTCTGGCTATGAGGTAGATCTCATACTGCATGGTTGGAAAACTGAATTATCTGAATCCAAAGGATGTTTTATCCTCTCAAAGTTGGGCCCTAAATCTAGTCCCTGCAGTCTTTTCTGTCAGATGTGTCTTCCAAACTACAGGCCATTCACCTACAGTTGATGCAAATAGCAGGTACCAGCCAATGTCCCGTCCCCCCAGCCCCCGAATCGTTCCCTGGATGCAGCCTGCACTTGGTTCCGGTCAACTTCCCCTTTGGGACTCCCTCCAGGCAGGGCCAGCTCTACGCCCCTTGACAGCAGGAAGCAGTTTCAGAAGCTGAGACCTGTGCTCCTTACCCCACAAGAATTTGGGTCCCATTTGTTTGAGGTGGGAGTGATGAGGACGGGATCTAGACCCCAGAAAGGAAACACCCTGGACTTTCCCACATGGTCAAATCTCTGGTGTTCTTCTGTGGCTATAATCCCATCAACTGGCCTTTCATTGTGGCTACTCCCAATCTCTTACCCTTAACCTAGCCTGGCCCTCCACTATCTTACCTCCCAGTGGTCCCCCGCCACTTCCCAACCTTAATCCTACCTAGGCTCCATTCTCCCTTGGCACTGGTCCAGGTCCCTGGGGTTCTATTACCTCACAGACTACTCAGCCACTCCTAGATCCCTCCCATAGTCTTTTTGTATATAAGGTCCATCTTGTCTCCATTAAGATGCTCTAATTCTTATAATCTAACCACTGCTCAGATTCTTACAATCTAGCCAATAGCTCACTAACATTCAGACTCTCTAAGAGTCTGCCTAGTATGATGGATATTCTGATAAAGCTTGTCTTTGGCTGGAAAAAAAAAGTCTCAGATCTAGGCCTTCTGCACTGCAAGCACAGGAGCCCTGGCAACCCTCCAGAAGGAGGCTCTGAAAAGGTCAAAAGGGAGGGGGGACACTGATGGGCTTTGCCTCTGAATAATCAATATTCGGCCCATCCAGCGCCTCTGCAGCCCTCCGGCGCCTCCTAGTGACAGAAAGTGGGAAATGGAAATACTCTGGAATGGAGGGAGGGGACAGTTTGCATTCTACATCCCATCTAACACAGCATTAGCTCTGCCTCCTTTGACATAAATGGCATTTTAAATAAACCTGATAGCAAAATACAGCAATGAGTTTTCATGCTGTGTAAAGGCAGTGCTTGGTCTCACCTAGACATTGTTCACCCCCGCACCCCACCCCAGATGCTAGAAGGGGGAGAAGCAGGGAACGACGGCGGGACCGCCAAGCGAAGGCAAAGGACAAGAAGGAACAAGATGAGGGATAACTACAAAGGATTTCTGGAGCCAGCCCCAGACCAGAGCACAATGGCAAACGTGACGGACTTAAAACCTCACTCGGAAAACCCAACAACCAAACGGCTCCTGGCCAGAGGCAAGGCAATAGCTCCCCAAGGGCTGATACCTTCGCTTCTTCTGCCATTTTCTTTTCTTCGTCAACTTCTTCAGTCTTCGCTACTGAATCTTCTTGGTGTTTCCTTCTCTTTTGTTTTGGAGCCATGAAACCTTGAAGAAACTTCTTGATGACACTGGCCTGAAGGGAAATCACACACTCCCCAAAATCCTTTAGACTCTCCAGGGAGAAAACCTATGGAGAACCACAGAAAGCCAAGACGAATAAGAGAAAGAAGGCACACTATTCTCAACTAAGGCAAGTTCAGCTAAAGCCAAACATAAATGTTTTACACGCTCTCATGGAAGGTCCGTTTCCCAGGAAAGCTATGCCTCCTACACTGGAAACCCAAGAGCAATCTGGTTATTCCTGATGCCATGTTCAATTTACCCACAATTTGTTCACAAAATAGAAATCCCCCAACTCAGATAGAACCCAGCGGGATTTAGATAAGGCAAATTCTTAAGCATGTCTCGCTAATGGTGTGACACTTCTAACACTGGAGTTTCTACAAACAGGAATCTCAGTAAAGCTACTTGGCAGCGCCCCAAGAGGAATGCATAACTCTCACTTGTAACAACTTAGTTTCTGACGGAAGGGAAAGATTACGAGCGCCCAAAATGTTAACTTGTCTATTCTAGTCCACCTGCCCAAGTCTCATCTGTATGTGGACAAATGACCCAGGGTTTCACCCTCATGCAGACCAGGTCCAGGTACACAGAGCAAACCCCATTTCTTCCATCTCCTTTTGGCAGTTCCCAGGAAGCCCTCTCTGAGGTCAGCTCAGTGAAACTATATCTTGCCAAGTTTGGAATACAAAGCCAATAGTCACAAACTCAAGTTTACAAGCAATGAGTCTCTAGGATTCCACAGAGCTTTGAACCCCAGACCAACTGCACCTGTCACTTCTGGCCTCTAGGGCAGTTACTTTAATTACACTTCAGAATCCAATCAAAGTAATAATAGGTCACCAACAGTTTAAGTATGAAAATAATGCTCATTCTAACATGACTCCCCCAATAGCTGGCTAAAGGAGAAGATCACACATAGGCAGGACACCTTGATGCAGGCACAGAGGCTGTCTGAACAGAAAACTTGAAGCCACACAGAAACTGCTGAGAAAGGAAGCTCAATGAGCAGACACTCACAAAGGCCAGGCCTTTCAGACACCAGCCAGGAGAGGGGGATCCATGAACACATTCAGGGACATTCGTAACAAAAGGCTGGTCCCACATGGTCTTTTCTTGCACATCTACACACATGGATCATAAGGACTCTCACTGTCACCTTTGAAAAAGGTGAGAAAAAAAAAGAAAAAGGAAATTCCAAGCCAAATTTTTCAAAGCAGCAGCTGCCTCCCAGGAAAAATAACGTTCTGCATGCTCTCACCCTGGCTTCAAACTCTGACGTCTCCTCGACATAACCAAGGCCCCCCTTTTGCAATCGAGTCGCCACCTCAATGAGGTCACTACGGAGGAAGTTGAGGAGCTCCTGATTGCCATCACAGGATTTCAGGCCAAGGTTCTGTTTCCGGGCCAGATGGATAGAATGGGTGATGTCCTGATATCTGGAAAAACGGGAAAAAATCACGGCAAAACCTGAGAGGATTAGAACAGCAAGTGTCATCTGCAACAAATCTATGCTAGTATTCAGAGGAGCACCAGTAAAAGTACAGCATTTTACTTCTTCACATGTGAAGCCATTTCTGATAATGCCCCATGCTGGCCATTTCCCCCATTCTCACTATGCTTGGATATATCTGTATTAGAGAAGGAGAAAATCTCTATTATGTATCCAGCTGTAATATAATCTCCAGCCAGCAAAGTGACGTATTCAATCAGCTGGATGCTAGAGCAGTGCAGTGGGTACAGATTAGTCCTGCTGAAGGCCTTGAAATGCGGCCTGAGGTAAGGGATAGAACAGCAGCTCCATGGTACCTGGGATCCAGCCTTAGTTTAGCCACGCATCCAGAAGCTGGGGGGGGGGGGAGGCCCCACCACAGGTTATACCCACGTATGTGGATATGAATGAAAAGTCTTGATTAGCAAAGAAGTCTTATGTTTCTATATCCCAAGAAGATACTTGTGCTTTAGAGAAAAAAGGTCCCATAGTTAGGTGAGAGTGGACCTAACAATAAATGGGGGGCATCAATGCTCATTTTGTTGGCAGACTAAAATTTCCTGCAGCAAGAACAATGTCTGAATGAAGGCTCTCTGTCAGGCCACCTTGGTGTGTATGATGGTGCTCTGAGTCTGGCATTCAATGTCACATGAATGGTTCTGAACACAGGGTTTAACACACATTCATACAAATCCAGGGCATGCTAAGAATCACTATCTAAGATGAATGCCAGAAACATTTCCTGGCATGGTGCTGGTCCCAGCAGAGGGGCAGCCCTTATGTGGGCTATGTGGTCTTTACCTCTTCTGCAGTCTCTCCTTCAGCTGGCTTTCCCTTATTCCCTGAGGGTGGAGACAGCTCAGTAATTCATCCAGTTCTTTTTGGCTGTCACATAGAAACCTGCGGGATGGGATGGAAAAGACCTGAGTCCTGGAAAAGAGGAGACACGGAGAGCCAAGAACCACAAACCCAAGCCTGCCCGTCAAGTCCATGACGAGGGGTGCAGCTGACTCCACCCTGGTCTTCCTGATTCTCTGGGGACAATGTCCCATCGCCCCGCCCCCCCCGGGGCACTGCTTTAGCAACGTTTGGATGGGATGGCCTGGCTAATCTACTTCCTCAGGGTACCCAGAAATTACAGTTCCCAGAATGGCTTGAAAGACACCTCCATCTACTTCACTTTTAATTAAGAAAGAAGCCAAGTAAAGGAGCAGTGCCCACCATGGGGTAGCACATTACCACAGGTTCTGTCCTTGCTTAGGTACGGTACTCTCGACGGAGCCTTCTGCTGTGCAGCCGGGGTGCGGAGTCACACCTGCATTCTTTCCCAGGCTTGTTTTTTTACCTAAGAAAAATGTATACGAGTCAGATCAAATAAAATCAACCGTCCTCACACTGCTCTTTTCTATAATGCAAACCAAGCCACGCCTTCTTCCCTGCCCACGAACATGCTCTAATACTGAATGCCTAGACCCATGCACTGAGCGACAAGATGGAAAGAACATGGGATTTTTAGGAAAGAAAAACATAGAGGGTCAGGGCACAACTTGGCCCCTTCCTAATGCTTTCTCATCTGCACCACAGGGACCATAATCCTGGTACTGTCTTGCCTATTGTGGAAAGTGCTTTGCCCATAGGGAAGCCCTCAATGTGAGTGAGTGGTTCCTGGTAGCCAAACACCAGAGAATTGCCCTGAATCAGGAGAGACTATGGAACGCTGCTATCTGGACGAGTGTAGAACTGGAACTGGCTTTTGCTCATGTGGCCTAGGGCAAGAAGAGGATAGAGGGTTGGAATGGGGATGTCTGTAAGTAGGTATCCTTGAAACAGAGGAGCTGATCACTCTATGCTGAAGTTTGAAAAGAAAAAAAAAGGAAAGAAACTGTTTGGCTGATTCAAAATGATACAATTTGAGTTACACCACCGTACAAAAAAATAAGCCCTCTTACAAACTTCTACTCTCTCACTGTTTTAACATTCAGATCCACCAAGAAAGAAAAACCTCTCACTCAATCATGCTGAATATTTCTGAAGACAGTTTTAAACATTCTACAATCCCAGGGTTAAATCTTTGAGAATTCTGGTCCCAAAGCAGCTCACTTTTCCTTTCTGATACTAGATCACTTTGGGATCACTCTCCCCTTCAGGATGTTTAGAAGTCCCCAAACCTCATGATTCTGCCTCAACATTTTTACTTCTCAGAAAATGTGGCTTATCATCTCCTCAGGAACTTTCACAATACTTAAAAGAAATGAGTTTTGTCCCCAAAGGGCCACCCTATAACATGCTTTATTTCAACTTGGAAACACCTTGACAACTCAGCATTTTGTAAACTAGATTATTCTAGTGTTCAATCATACAGAGCTAGAATGAAATCTGTTTCCCAGCTAAGTTCACTGCTTCTGCCATTAACATGAGGCCTCTGATTCTTCAAAGAACGAAGGGGCCTTTAAGGCTAGCTAATCCAAATTCCCTTATTTTAGAGAGATGGGCAATGACAGGCTCCCAGAGGCTACAAGATCTGCCCACTGTCACACAGAGAATGACAGGCTGCGAGACCAAGTCCAAAGAATGTCGCGCTAGGAGTCAGAAGAGCTGGGTTCAAGGTCTAATTCTGGTGACAAAGTTGTGTGACCCTGGGCAAATCATCTCTTAATTCTGGTTTAGTCACATCATCCAAAGAGAGAAAAGGGGAGACAAACAAATGCCACATCCACCCAGAATCTCTGATCACATGTGAAGTATGTAATGCACTCCTGCCTTGCCCAGCCCACCAAACTGTCAGGAGAATCAAATGGCAAGGTGCTAGAGAACCATCTGTCACAAACATAAACGACATTAGAAACGGATGAGCTGCCGAACACCTTCCAACAGAGCAGAGTACACTCACCAGACAGCTAGATCCAGACAAAGGAAGGAAAAAGGGAAATCCTATGAATGTAACATTGGTGATGTTAGGAGGAGCCCTTGTCATTACTTACCCTAACCCAGGAGTAAAGCAAAGAATCTGAGGGGCACACTTACTTCGGGGATTGCCATCCTCATCAGAACAGTCTGTCCGTTCTTTTCGAGGAGGAGTGAATCGGTAGTCTATGCTATCATGTACCCAGCCCTTCTCGATGAATAATCCAGGAACTTCATCTGAAAACAGCCAGTACCTGAAAATCAAGCATACTGATAAGGCAGGAAAGAGGAAATGTTTATGGGTGGTGTGAGAAGGCTTGATAAAACACCACCCCCTCCTCATTGGTAAAGCACCGGCTATTCCCTACTCGGACCTCCAGAGAAACGCTCCTCAAGAGAACACAACGGGAACTACACAGGAGCTCCCAGAACCTGACTGCATCCCATCCACTCCCACCACAGCCCCTAGGTCTGGACTATTTTCAAGATTACCGAAAATGCATCGTGGGCATCAGAATTTTAAAAAAAGACTCTCCTTTCTAATCAAAGCAGGAGAGTCAAGGCCCCACACTTCCACTTAGCCACCCTTAAACGAACAGGTTTATCTCAAAAAAGAAACAAAACCCACTTCAACAACCCTAACCACCATGAAGGCCTCATGCCTGCCCACCTGTTGTGGTTCCGGTCTGTGCCGATGGGAGTCCTGCGCATGACCAGCTTGGCCTTGGCAATCCCCTCCTGGAAAGTCTTCTCAGCAGCCGCTTTGTGCTTCCGGATTCTCTCCTCTTCAGCTTCTCGCTCTAATTTCACTAGCAAGAGGTAAAAAGGGATTATCTAGCTTTCTTCAGATGTATTTTGTTTAGAAATTTAATCCTAGTATGTAGCAAAAACAATTTTATAACACCTTCAGAAACAAATCTATGTTGAATTCCCTCACTCCAAATATTTAACCAGAACAAGGACTATTCCTAAAAGAATATCCCAAACACATCACAACGAAGGCTGTTCCGCCTACGGGCGCAGCAGGAACCTCCCAAAGGTCAGACTGAAGAACCACCATGTCCAGTTAAACAGTCTCTCGGTCCTGTGGGAATTTCATGAGCTCTTTTCACCCCAGGAGTGACTTCTCTCACTGGCCCTGACAGCCAGCACTGAGGTACATGGTTAATACCTATACAGGGTCGACATGTCTTGGGCAAGCTGGTTTAGTTGTTAGTAGTAACAGCTATTCTGAAAGTTAAAATAATTAGCAAGTTGCTGATTCTAGCAAACTGAAAAATTAAAACTGTCATTGGATTAGTTTATCCAGTTTTTGGCTGAGAAGAAACATGGGTTTCTTTTTTTTTTTGTTTGCTTGTTTTTTTGGCAGTTGGGGTTCAGTGACTTGCCCAGGGTCACACAGCTAGTAAGTGTCAAGTGTTTGGTCTGAGGCCGGATTTGAACTCGGGTACTCCTGACTTCAAGGCCAGCGCTCTATCCACTGTGCCACCTAGCTGCCCCTAGCTGAGAAGAAATATGAAGAAATTAATACCAGTAAATGAAGGACCCAAGCTACTCATTTCCATAAAAGAAAACAATCACCTATTAATTTCAAATCTTTTCTGTAACCTTTAAACTAACTTTAAAAATGTGGAAATAGGGGTAGCTAGGAGGTGCAGTGGATAGAGCACCGACCCTGGATTCAGGAGGACCTGAGTTCAAATTCGACCTCAGACACATAACACTTACTAGCTCTGTGTGACCCCGGGCAAGTCACTTAATCCCATTGCCCCCCCCCCAAGTGGAAATGCAGTATATTGGTAATAGCAATAATACTTTTAACTCTGGTTCAAAACCACATCTTACTACTAAAACAACACAGCTTAGTAAAGATGTGAAAAACTGAGTGGACTCTGAAGTATGACTTCAAAATAACTGAAGACAAATCTCATCTTCTGTTAAAGAAGAAAAAAACCAACCAACCAACCCCACTACGACTAACGTGTGGAGTGTCCTGGAGCATTCTAGACTGAACCAAGTATACATCTGGAATCATCTGAGCTAAGATGAAGCTAGGGAACGACTCAATGTGAGGGTAGGCACGTGGCACACCAGCATCTTAGAGCTGACCTCGCCAATGGGTCAGGGAAAAAGGACTAAATATAGGGGCAGCTAAGTGGCATGGTACAGCGAGCACTGGCCCTGCAGTCAGGAGGACCTGAGTTCAAATCCAGCCTCAGACACATAAGACTTACTCTCTGTGTGACTTTGGGCAAGTCACTTAACCCCACTGCATAGCCAAAAAAAAAAAAAAGACTAAATACAACATCCTGTTTTGTACCAGACAACTTTGTTTCTAATTCTGCTTCTATAGTAACTTTCATATGCACCAAGGCCTATATCAGTTCTGTCTTAGGTTTTCCCAACTTCATTATTTGAAAATTCTCAAATTAGTGTTTAGGAAGAATGCTCACAGTTCATTCCCTCCTTGTCCCTGCAAGGAAGTCAGAATGCTAAATCAGTGATGCCTCTATTCTTTTAACACCAAGATTTCTCAAAGCAGAAGATTCTGACTTCACAGCAGGAACAAAAAGGAAAAGTTGGAGGGGAAAACTACTTCAACAGCTTAAGCAGAAAATGAAATACACAAACTTACTGGCAAAGTAAAAACCTAACCATGTCTTTGCTCTGGTGCATGTTTCTCAATGGGACCACCAATTTTTCAAAGGAAATAAGGATTTTCAGAAACGACTGCTTTTCTTCCCCTGGGTGAGTCTTTCTAGGCGTTACATCAGCGACCCTGAAGTTTAATTTCAAAGACACAGCACTCAAATGATAGCCTAAAATAAGTCAATCACTACATATTTGTGACTTACTGTACCTATACGACATGGGAGGAATTGCCTATCCTCTGACTCCGGCTATTTTATTTAAGGGCTTTGAAAACATTTGCAATATGTGAAATACTCCTTTTCATGAGTAGAAGCCAGTTGTTTTGAAACCATTACTTATGCACCACTATTCAAAGACCTCAAGTCATGACAGGGCGCTGATTCAACATTTTGATACAGGAGAAGAAAAGCCAAGGGTGCCGTCCTCTGAGCACAGCCACAGACAGAAGGTTCAGACATTACCTCTCAGCTGGCGCTCCTGGATCTCGCGTTCCTTCTTGGCCTGGATGGCCAGCAGCCGCCTGCTCTTCACGGCACTGATCATGTCCTCTGCCTCCACTTCCACCGAGGGCTCTACCTTGGCCACCTCTTTTTTTCTGTCCGACTTGGTCAGCCCATTCTCCTCCTTCCCATTCTCTTTGTTTTTGGCTTCCATCTCTTTCCGCTTCTGTTTCTCAGCACGTCTCTTGTCATTTTCCTCCTTCAGGACAGCAAGTCGCTCCTTCCACAGCTCTGCTGACATCTGCTGCTTGGCCTCCATGTGGTCCTGCACAGAGTAGGTCATGAGGATCCGGTGGCAGAGGGCAGCCAGGATCTGCAGCTTTTCTTCTGAGGTCAGTTCAAAGAACTCAGAGGTCTCGAGCTTCTCCAGAAACTCATCCTGGACCTCATTGTCCTCAAAGGGGGCTGTCTCCTTGTTTTCATCCGCCGTGTATGAGCCCTCACTCTCCTCAGGCACATCTGTTTTGCGCAAACAGAGACGAACGAGCTCAGAAACAGAGTGCAGCGTCAGAGGGATCTCGGAGAGCTTCATTCCCAGCTCACCATAGTCCTCAGCGATCTCATCCTGGAGCAGGGTTTGTAGGAGGATGACCAGCACCCTGTTCAGGTACAAGAAGCCACCCTTGTCGGCGCTCAAGGCCTCCATGAGGGACACTGCAGTGATGGGGTACTGGGCATCGGGCAGGAGCAGCCCCGAGTAACAGCTCAAGAATTCGACCACCATCGCGACGTCCCCAAAGAGGGTGTTGGGAAGCCCTTCAGGGGTATCCACCAGCCGGAAAGAGGGCAGGCTCTTGCCTGTCAGCTCTTGGTCCTCATAACGCCTCTGCTTCTCCAGTCTCTCCAACATTTCTTTCTCTTTCCGTTCCTTGGCTTTCTCTTTCAGCTTCTCCTTCAACTCCTCCCGTTTCTTTTTCAAATACTCCTTGCGCTGCTCTTCGGACATTGAGGCCCATTTCTTCTTGTGCTCCAGAAGCTCATAGCGCTTTTGAACCAAGATGCGGAGCTCTTCGGGAAGGCGGGCGCGGTCTTCATTGGAAAGCAGTCGGGCTGTCTTAGAGATGACACAGGACAGGGCACTCTTCTTGTCCTCCCGGTCTTTGTTCTCCTTGTAGTAGGCAATGAGGTGGAGGGCAGCAGGAGGGAGATGCTTGTGGGGCTTGTTAGAAGACCTGGGTGTACCCCCAGAGCTCCGTGGGGTTCGAGTCATTTTCTGGGTACCCTTGGCCATGTCCAGCAGGGTCATCTGCTTCATTTTGGTTTTGGGTGTCTTCAAGCCCTTTTTGGGGGATTTAGATTTTCCTGGAGATTTCTGTCCATTTAAAATGCCTTTGCTCCTACCCTTTGTTTTCAAGGGTTTGTCCCCGTTCTTCCCTAACTTTCTGGAGATGGGGCCCTTTTTAGGAATGTGAAATGTGGTGTTTAATTTGCCAGGAGACATCATCTTCATCATCTCCTCCAGCTGTTCCTCAGGTGACTTGGAATTCTTTGAGTTCTTTACTTTTAGGGGGGAGCCATTCAAGGATTTCTTTAGGTGAACATGGCACCATAACGTGGGATTCAGCACCTGGTTCACTGGAGAGGTCTCAGTTTTCAGCTTCTTAGAGGGCTTCCTATCAGGGGACGTAATATTTTTCCTCTTTGTAGAAGGATTGAGAGTCATGTACTGGAGATAAAGAAGAGAACTGAAATTAATTCAAAGAAAAGCAATGATGACTATCCAATATATTCTTTCCATTAACTATACAGGTGTGGTCAAATTATTTCACTTCAGAGACAGCAAACCCCTGATCAAAAGCAAAAGCACAAACGCCAATGTTCCAACAGTTTCTACCACTGATGGTTTTCACCACGTTCAATTAACTAACAGCAAAGTCCCTCCTGGGAGTAAGGATCCTCTGCTTGGGCTTTCCACACCTCATGCTGTAGGCAAGAGAGAAAGACTACTCTGATGGTTACTAAGCTTTCAGTGCAGCTGAATCATCTATAAACACATAGGAAACATTGCCTGGCATTAATAAAAGCAAGAGGCAGGGGCAGCTAGGTGGCGCAGCGGATAGAGCACCGGCCCTGGATTTAGGAGGACCTGAGTTCAAATCCGGCCTCAGACACATAACATTTACTGGCTGTGTGACCCTGGGCAAGTCACTTAACCCCACTGCCTAACAAAAAAAATAAAAAATAAAAAATAAAAGCAAGAGGGTACGTCCGTACTACTCTTAAGGCCTGTACAATTCACACTCATCGTTCTCATGCCTGGGGAGGGCCTTGCCCTTCCTGTTTAGACATGCCAGGACTAGAGCTGGATTCTCAGTAGTTAATATAGACTGTGACTTAATTAGCAATCATCAATAATTATTAATAGGTAAAACACATGCCTGGCAGGCCATGAAAAAAGCAAACACACTGGTGAGATAGTTGTTATTAATGGAAGAGAAAAAGAGGGGAGGGGGATGTAAGCAGCACAACTATAATAATAATAATAATAAATTATTATTATTATTATTATTATTATTGTTGTTGTTGTTGTTGTTGTTATCTACACCTCAAAGAAAGACATAGTACACACATTTGGGGAGATAGCCAAAATTGCCCAGGTCGTCCTACCCCAATCAATAAGAAGTAGACCTCAAAGCTTCCTATGTCTGGGAATGAGCCACCCTATGGGGCTATCTGTGTTAGAATTTTTCCTTCTTTTTTTAGTTATTTTCATTTGACATGTTAAATTCTGAATCTGCATTTGAAATGTGTCTATACTGCTGTCTTGGGTGGAATCCCCACAAAATCTAGAAAATGCCATATTACCTCAACTAACCTCTACCTTTCATACTCTCAAATTCCATGGTATCATTTCTTATTTGCTCTCATAGACCCCCACAGAATATCTAAAAATTATCTCAGTGGTTTTACCTAGTACTAAAGATAATCTAAATTCTACACTGCTCCCTATACACATCTAAAACTAAACTTCAAAGTGGATGTAGATCACAGAGTCACCGGAGTAGCCCAGTGACTTTTACCACCACGAGGCAAGGGACCTGGATTCTTATCTTTGTTCTGCTGGGCAGTTCCTTTTGCACCTTAGTTTACATAATCTTTATGTATCTGAAATAGTTCTCTTCTGGTGTAAGCGATGCAATCAGACTTTTAAAAAACTATGTCATTTACGGTAACATTAATATACATGACAGACTTGAACACTGAAGAAACTTCAGAATGACTCCATTTAAAAAATTATACTTTAAGCCCTATCTGATAAAGAGAGGACTTTCTACAACCAAAAAAAAAAAAACCAAACCATCTCAGGCATAAGGATCAACATAATATCAGAATTTAACTGGATATCACTAAATCTACTTGAATAATCCTATGGGGAACAGAAGTTAAATGGACAGTTTAATTTAAAAGGTTTTTCATAAGCAGGATCAATACAGCTAAAATTAGAGAAGCAGGGGCTTTTTTTTTTGGCAGCAAGTTTCTCTGATTAAGTGCATTTCCAAGAAAGAAGGAACCAATGCAAATTTATACAAACAAAAAAAAAATTTTTTTAATTGTAAAACAAGCACTACTCCCAAACTGGTAAATGGTCAGCACTTTCATGGTAGCAAAAAACTGGAAACTAAAGGAATATCCATCACTTGGGAACTGGTTGAACAAATGATTATACATTAATGTAATAAAATACTATTGTGCTATAAGAAATGAAGAAGGGGGTGCTTTCACAGGAACTTGGGAAAACTTGTATGAACTGATGCAGTGTGAAGTAAGCAGAACCAGAACAATTCATACAACAATGTGAAGACAAACAACTTGCAAAGTTTTAAGAACTCTGATCAACACCACGACCAACTATAACTCCAGAGATTCATATGAAATATGCTTCTTCTCTGGGGGGAGGGGGAGAGAAGAGAACTACTTTTAATTTAAATAAATAACACTCTTTGGAACTACAACCACAAATTATCCTCACACCTATTTCTATCTGTGATCCAAATAGTCTCTTGGGCCCTATTTTGTCCTTGAGCAACTTCTGTGGTTTCAAGGGGACTTCTTTGAGGCTGACTAGAGGCAAATCAGACAGAGCTTTGGGCCTGGAATATGGAACACTGTCCGGCCTCAGACTCACACTGGCCAAGTGACCCTGAAGGCAGTGGTTTAACTGGTCTGCTTCGGTCTCCTCAGCTTCAAAATGCAGATAATAATAGCGTCTACCTCACAGGGTTGTTGTATGGTTCCAATGAAACACCTGTAAAAGCACTTAGCGCAGTGCATGGTACATCCTAGGTGCTTAATAAATGCTTGTTTCCTTCCTTCTAATATTAGAAATTACCTTGAATGCTATTTTGGAACATTCTTTCGTACGGTTACTAATAATGTAACTGCTTTTCCAGAGAACTGTTTACATGATCAAATCCTCTGACTACTTATCTAATGGGAAATAATGGGCTTCTAATCCAACATATTTAGTAACTGTTTATATTTTAGAAACAAAGATTTTTCTCCAGTCACCACTTCCTTTCTTCTCCTACATATATTAATTTGTCTGCATTTCATACAATCAGAATTATCTACTTCATCTCTTCTAACTCCCTTTTTATTTTTATCCCTTATTTGGTGAAGAATTCATCTTGAACTTTTAGTTATAAAAAATATGGCCTGAACTAATTTTATTTCTTTAATGATATGATCTTTAATAATCACGTTAAACACACATTTTGAATTTATTATACAACATGGTATAAGACAGGGTACTTAACGTGAGGTCCATGGATAGATTTGAGGGGTCTGTTGAGCACAGGAAAAAAAATTACATCTTTATTTTTAGGTAATTCTACGTATTTTATTTCATATATTTAAAAACATTCTAAGAAAAGCCTGAGACACAAAAAAGGTTACGAATCCGTGGGGGTGAAGAGCTGGTCTAAGCCTCATTTCCATCAGGCTCTCAGATTTTCAGCAGTCTTAGCAAATACAGAGTTCTTTCCTAAGTAGTCTGTCTTTGGATTTAATATCAGGTTACTGAATTACAGAATTTCTGATTCTCCCTTGTCTATTCTGTTCTGTTCATTTATTTTCCAATTTTTTATTCTGGTACTAAATGGTTTTGATAATTCCTGCTTTATAATATAGTATAGTTTGAGACTTGGCACTGTTATTTCCCCCTTTATTCTGTAGTGTTTCATTATTTCCATTGACATTCTAAATCTCCGTGAAATAAATTTTCTAATTTAACTTAGCTTTTAGCACAGTGCCTGGCATATAGTAGGCACTTAATAAATGCTCATTCCCTTCCCTTCCTCTAACCTCTTCCAAAGAGCTACAAGACGACACTTCTGCCCACTCCTATGCAGGGGTGGGAGATCCACGGGTATAAGACATTATGTTTTCAGACTTTGTTATGTTCCTTAGTTTTGCTCACTTTTCCTTTTTCAAAAATATTCTCTGTCATACAGAAAGGCTTCCAGGGAAGAGGCAGGGCCTTCTGGGAGAAATCTGGACAATATAAAACCAAAGATATCAATCGCATTAAAAAAAAAAATTCAAGGATTCCTTTTTTGTAAAACAAAGCCTGTAAGATCTTTTTCTAGCAGCGTTTCCATATATTTGGAGATGTAATTCACAATTTGAAGCTACCCTTCAAGGTTTTCTGCCTATCTGCCCTCCCTTTCATTCCTGACATGACAGAAAGTCAGTGCACAGGGGCTGAGTTATCAAGAGTGCTCCCTACCAAACCATCTGGTAGTTAAAAATCAACCTGATAAATCATGATGGTAGAGAACAGGAGTTTCAATGATTAGGAACAAGTGAGCCAAATATCACCGTCTGGTTTTCTGATGGGTGACTTTACTTGTATTTAATGAAGGACAGGACTGGCCCTGCAGAAATCCATTGTACTTCATACAAAATAGTGAAATCTCACTCTAAATCCCCAGGTAGGGGAGAGAGCTGGAGAGCTTTATTTTCTTCATTTTGCTCACTGTATAACTCCTCCTTGAACCACACACACCATTCTGTTTCCCTTCACAAAATATTTTTCTACTTTTTAAAAAGGCTGTTAAGTTTACTCTATTTAATTCACCTCTAAATAACATTAACATTTCCTTTACATTTGCACAATATTTACTTTACAAGGGGCTTGTGAACCAAATAGTAAATAATTCTCATTTTATACAGGGACCTGAGGCTCAAGAGAAATCAAATATCTTGTTCCCCACACTACTAATATCAGAACACAAATGAAAACTGAATTTATATGCAACCTAGGACAAAATATAATTTATCATAATTAGGAAGTTAAGTGTAGAATTTAGCTTTAACTTAGGCTGATCTTAAGTTTTCTATATCCCTTCTAATTTTAGGACAAAGTACATTTCGAACACTTAGCCATCCAACAAGGAAGAAACTAAATGGGATAATCATTTGCCAGGAATATTGTAGGATTTCTGAACTATGTGAGACTAGAATCAGGGGAGGGAGGGGAACCTGTGGCCTTCTAGGTCCTTGGGTACAGCCTTTTGACTGAGTCCAAGTTTTATAGAACCCATCCCTTTTTTTAAGGGGATTTGTTGAGTGAAGTTTGGATTCAGTCAAAGGGCCAGACTAGGGAACCTAGAGGGCCACATGTGGCCTTGAGGCTGCAGGTTCCCTAGCCCTGGCTACATGATC